CGGCGGTTTTTTCCTCACGTCCCCGGGGGTGTGCCTGCCTTGTAGCCTGTCCGCGCTGTCGCTCGCTGCGTTTGCGTGTCCGTGCCATCGCTCGGTCCGTGTCCGTGCCATGACTCGGTCCGTGTGCGTGTCCGTGTCGTCGCTCGGTCCGTGTTACTGCGGTTTTACCGGTGTCACCGTTCTGGCCATGCTGCCTGGCAAACGGCACCTACCCCATCAGAGAGCTCCCACAGCAAACACGCAGGTGCACAACCCAAGCCACGTCAAACCACACCGTCCTCGTACGCTCACGCTCCTTGTCAGTAGGATGTTTCCTGGGGTTTGTGTTTGACGTGTAACTGAGCTCTGTGAGGTCTGTCACTTGTAAGAGTGAAGAACTTGAGGCAGCAGTTACTAGCATATACCTGCTTTGATCCTCAGAAGGGGCAAGCAGCCGGAGCGCCTGGAGTTTAGCTGGCATTGTGCACCTTCACAGTTCAAGATAAGCTGACCCTTTTTCCTCTGCCTGTGAACTTAATACTTTAAAATAGGAATCTGAAATACAATACTTCACAAAATTAAAATTAAATCTTGAAGGAGTTACAATTTCAACATATTTTCCCATCAAAGGCTTGAAGAAGTACTTCTCCCCCAGAGAGAAGGGATGCATTCCGGGCGGGAGGGGGGTGGGCGACGACACAGATGCGTTGCAGGTATGTTTTGAATGAGTTGGGAGGGCACTGGAGACCGGCTCCGCTTGTCAGGAGCCCAGCGATCACAAGAAGGAGCAAAGGCGGCGTGAGGAGTGGAGCTGAGGATCGTAGGGGTGGCCCCCAAAGGTGGATGGTCAGGAGGATGTCAGGCAGAAAGCAGTCTTGGACAAAGGCGGGCAGTCACTCCAGTTACTGTTAATGGGTAGAGGTAGCGTCTTGCTGGATTTCTGGTGTGAGCTAAAACTTCAAAGTATGAAAAAAAGGAAGGTGAGTGTGTACACAGATGTTGCTGTTTTCGAGCAATGCACACATGCGTTTAACTTGCAGTGGATGGGGAAAGGCTTCTTTAATGCTTATTACACTTTTCTTAATGCCGAGGGAGCTCTTTGCTTCCTGCTCACCCTGAATTGCACCGCTCCATCAGGGAGGTGGGGAGCTCCCTGCCCCATGCCAGCCATGCTCCTGCCGAGGTGGGTGCTGACAGCAGCCCGGCAGTGGGACAGCACAGACGGGATGCTCCCAGCAGAACCCGCGCGTGCAGAAGCACCTCGAAACAGTTATTAGCCAAACACAGAGATAACTTTATTTTCAAACTCAAAGTGAAGCAATAATGTAGGATACAAGAACAGTAACACAAACAAGATGTAGAAGCCATCGTTTTCACCGGGCACAAATCCGTGGGATTTTTTTTTTTTTTTCCTCTTTCCTCTAGGAACTTCATGCTCATTTGAATGGCTGCATCAGTTCTGCCACTATGAAGAAACTTATGGCCCAGAAGCCGTACCTTCAGATCCAAAATGGGATGACTATGATTGACAAAGGAAAGAAAAGAACCTTAGATGAGTGAGTGCACACGTGTGTGTGATGAACATTTATCGAGTGTCTTTTAATTGACTTCAGAGAAATGTATGGCCTTATACAAGTACTGCAGAAAATACATTTTCAAGTTTTACTTACAGTACAATCTGTTAGATATTTTGCTACTTGTATCTACAGAATAACTTTTTAGATGTTTGCAAACTAAATGGAAATCTGATATTGATTAATTGCTTTTTTAAAGGATTGAAAATTTTCACTTGTAGCATATGCTCTTCAGAGAAAATTGACTCATATACGTTCCTTTTTGCAAGGTTCATTTTTCCTTTGTGCTTCAAAAAGCTTTGTGGTAATAATAACAACAATTTATGTCACAAATGTATTGTTAGCATCTAAAATCAGGAATCAGCATTCAGATAGTCTTTGTATTTTAAGCTACAAGCTGGTTAATTGAGCATAGTGAGTACGTGTTTCCAAAGTGCAGATTTTTTTTTTGAATACTCATTTTACTGTTCAGCATTTGCCCAATTGATTTTTTTTTTTTAACTTTTTCTTTTAGATGTTTTCAGATGTTTCAGATCATCTATCAGATTACCACTAGGACTGAAGATATTTTACTGGTAAGTTAATTAAAAGTTTGCTTAAAACAAGCAAGCAATACATACAGTCAAAATTAGTTGGATTAACAGCACTGGGTTTCTAGTAATGATATCAACAATGGTCCCCTCAATTAAGGGGGTCAGAATTATTACTGTAAAACACATTTATTTAGAAACACAGGAATTTACATAACTTTTACATTTAATTTCTGTGAAAGCAATAAGGTTCTGATAGGGTTGTCATTATGATCATGCAGATGCTTGGACTGATAATGTCTTAAAAATGTAGTGTCTGTTTGTTGTTACCAAAGCTTTGCTTTACCGTAGCCTCCCGTTTCTTCTTTGGTTCATTACGTACCAAAACTACGTAACTAGACTTGCCCTTTGTTCACCTTGAAGATGACAAAACTGCCAAGGAGAACGGTTGTGTGATCAAGATAGGGGGCAGAAAGTGGCATTGTGGTCTCTGCTTTCCTCCTGTAAAAGGGCTTTTAGGCAGCCTGGTGCACTTACAGGGAGGTACAGGAGCTGTGAAGGGGTTGTGATTGCAGCAGTTGAGAGGTATTCATGTTCAGACAAGGGAGTTGTCATTTGTCCCAAGCCTCTTCTGTGTCACTGAGGGAACTGAAGGTACCCTCTGGGGAGTAGCATTTCCAGAGATGGAGAGGGCTCATAAGGGCCTGAAAATTTTGCGAGAGTTTTATGCCAGAAGATACCTGGGTCTTTTAGTTGTAAAGGAAAAAATAACCATTTATAAGCATTACTTTCACGATGTTGAATACACTGTTTCTTAATCAGATAACGAAAGATGTTATTAAAGAATTTGCTGATGATGGTGTCAAGTATCTGGAATTGAGGAGCACTCCTAGAGAAGAAAAGTCCACAGGTACAGTCTGTTCTGGTTTTTAATTTGCAAGTCTGATATGCGATAGAATTTAGGTAAGGCTATGTTAATAACAGGTAAAGTCATAGAATCTTAGAATGGTGTTGGAAGGGACCTTAAAGATCATCTGGTTCCGACCGCCCTGCCATGAGCAGGGACATCTTCCACTAGACCAGGTTGCTCAGAGCTCCATCCAACCTGGCCTTGAACACTTCCAGGGAGAGGGCAGCCA